ATCGACATAGATTTATAATAAGTTGCAATTAATATAGACTGCAAACGTTAAGGCTTTTGTATTTTTAATTAGCTAAGCATATCATGGCTTAAAATATTAATAAGTGTAATTTATTTAACATAAACACTGTACGAATCATCTGGGGCGTCAATAATGCTAGTTTATCATATCGTAAAGGAAATGCTAAAGACAAACTTAACTGCCATTAATCAAATAGTCGCAATCGCAAGTAAAGTGATATAATACAAACCCGGAGTAGAACTGTACAAACAACAGGTGTTAGATATAGCTGCGTCAAAAAAAATGTATAATTTTTTTTTTTTTTTTTTTTTTTTTTTTTTTTTTTTTTTTTACGAAGCCTTTTCTTTCCCTCACCCTTTTAAATTTCTCCATCGTCATTTCAGTTATGTTTTACCAATGGCAACACACTTGCTTAGCTACGTCACATACTACTTTAATTTATATCTTTAATTACGTAATACTTGAAAACAAGTGTTTTGTGAAGTAGTTTTTATTCCTCTGAATTCAGAAAAATTAATGGAATCTTTTATTTTCTAAAAAAAACTAGTTTTTTTAGAAGGAAATTTGAGCGAAAATGTGTCTATGAATTTCACATGAAGAAAGTACTTCTAGAATTTGGTTGCAGATTGCATTAATGCTAATTATATTAAAAATTATTCTTAAATTCCATCAAATAATACATGCATTAATTCAAAGAGAAGACGAAGAAGCTGTTCTGATAACCTTTGGAAATTGGTAGAGTTTTATTCAAAGCCTACGCCAAAATAAGGCTGCTTTTTTTGCCTAATTTTAAAATTTTGCATTGTTAAAAAATTATTTCCCTTAGAATTTTATTGCGATTAATTGTTTTCCAATTGGCCAAAAATTATTCTCTTTGGAAAAAAAAAACTTTTTTTTAGTAATGTAAAGAACAAACAAACCCTTTCTATGTGTTTTTGAGACAGGTAGTTATTAAGCCGAAACTTTTAATCAAAAATACTAATAACTAATTTGCATTGTCTTCATGTCAAATATTAGATGAATATTTTGAACACATGAAATGTTTCAAATTACGCCATGACGAAAATGGCACAAATATATCCATGAAGGTCTATGAGTCCTGAAATGTCACAAACCCTGAAATGTCCATGAGTGACATGTTCACGAAGCATGAAATGACCATTAATGTATACGCATGACGAAATTTTAAAAATGAAAGAAAACAAACATAGAGTATTTAATAAAATTCTTAATATCTAGCTCAGTAGACTTTTTTTTGAAACATTTCCATGTAAAAAAAATTGTTTAGCTGAATATTAAGCTTATTATAACTGCATATGAACAAAAAATACAATCATAGCACTTACGTACCATAAAATGTTTTACTATTTTTTTCCTTTTAAAAATATACTTTATCACTATAACTGTTGTCGAGTTAGTACAGCTGTTCTCGAATTGTTGAATTCTCGAAATCTGTTATCTTCGTATGCATGCTTATGTCTTTATTGCCATGAAACGCCAGCTTCGTAACTGTAATACCCGCTTAAAACTTATTAACTAAAGATTGTTAGATACTATATAACGTAAGCAGGGCAGAAACACGGGAGGGGTTAACTTTGAGGTAAAGAACAATCAGAACACTTTCTCTTTTCCACCTTTTAACAATCATTCTGAAACGGAATCGATTGCAAAACAAACCTTCCCGCAAACGAGATTAGGTAGGGCTTTCGTCGCGCAGAGCATTCTGGGTAAACACAATCAAGAAGAAGATGTTTCCTAAATGTTAATAATAGCCCGCAGTTTTTTTGTTGCGTTCGGTTTAAGGAGGAGAAGGCTTAAGAAGAAAGCAGGAGCAGCTTTTTGGGAGCTCTTGCCAATTTATCAGTCGTTGTCATGGCAACGGATACACCTACCAAAATATGGACGCCCCGTTCACTATGTTGCTTCCGAAATTTAATGCTGACATCCCAAGTGCCTGTTCAGTTCCTTTTTTTTTCAATTTTAAGTTGATCGTAAGAATGGTTTAGAAGGCACATCACAAAAGTGAGGCTCAAGAAAAGTTTCGGTAGATATAACGCAAGCTATATTTAGAAGCGAAGTCAATAAGTTAGAGTTTTGGTTTTATTAACCAGTTAGCCAGCTACGATTTAAAGTTCTCTGATTCCTAATGCCATTTTTCCAATTTAAATACTCACTTCAAAAGCAAAAGAATTAATTCAGTATGAAAAAGAAGACATCTGAATTATATACACCGTATCTGCAAAAGTTTTTAACCCTGCCTTTATTTTCGAAACCGTAGTTATACACATATACTCCCAGCTATGAAAACTTTTTAAATGATGAAAATTTTGCAAATTTCTGCAAAACAAAATACTTTTACAAAAATTACAAAATTTGATTTTTCCTTCTACTCAAGTTTATTTAAGAAAATGTTATTATAGAAAGCACAATATGAAATGTATGACTGAGGTACGACAAAAATTTAAATAGATGATACTTAAAATTATTATAAAATTTAGATAGAAAAGATATTTAGTTTTAATGTTGGATTTCATATAACGAAAATTGAAGAACAAAGTATTTGCTCTTACCAAAAATTAATACTTATTAATAAAATTATATTTATGGGGGGTCGTGTTGGATGGGGTTTTAAAAGAGTCTTTTACTGTGTAACAACAATTTATTACAATGGTTAAGTTACAAATGGACACAAAATATAAAATTTTAAGAATTATACAGAACAGGTGTCTGATACAACCTAACATTACCTGGCCTTTACTGAAGTCTTTCTCTGCCTACTCACCAGAGGACACCCTCGTTGCTAGAGTGAGTCCACTATAGTTTATATTAACAGCAGAGTTTATCATCATTTTAGGAAAAGATTTTTGATGTAATATACTAATAGATTCAAATTTTTTTAAAAAGTATTGATGAAAGTAAATTTTATTCCAATAAAATATAATTTTTGAAATCTTACACAATTCTTACCTTAGAAAACATTTACAGCCTTCAATATTCTCATACCGATAAAATGTAACCTTAATTGCATTAACTAAGAATTTTAAATATTTCTAGCCTTATTTTGTGTACGATTTTTAAATCAGGATTCTAAAGTAATAAACCTGCGTGAGACTATTAAAAAGTGTTTCTAACGTTTCAAAAATTATAAATTATTTGTCCGAAATTACTTTTGGTATAAAATTTGTAATAAAATTTTAAATTAAAGATTATTACACACTAGCATATTACAAAAGAATACAAATGAATGGCATTTAAGACGAAAGAAAAATGAACCTCGGGGGAAAAAAAGTACATTATGAATTATATATTTATCTGTATGTGTATATATTCTGCATGCTTATATATTTTGTAGAAAAAACATATTTGGTATATAAATGTATAATTCATCTATTAATTGAAGCATAAAGACAAGTTCAAAATGACCTCGAAACACGCATTTTGGAAATTAAATATCTCGTTCAATTTTTGTTAAACGAGAGTCAAACATTTCTTGTTTTATTTTTTATAATACGTATAACATTTTTCTAAACAATATAGAGACCGGTAGAACGTATGAGGGGTTAGATTTCATGTTTTATATAAAATTAAGTTTTAAATTTAAAAATACGAAAATATAAATCTTTGTTTCATTTGAAACAATTTCATAATTGGAAGCATGCTTCTACAATCAACGATTGCGAATATGAAAAGGTCAGGTAATGTCTTTTCCGCACAATACGTACACCAGAGTTTTAGGTACGATTCAAATTACTGAATAGCAGAGTTCCTTGCCAAGTTATGCTGTGAAAAACCAAATCCAACTTAAGCACGAGAAAGAGTTCATTATGTTACAAATTTGCAATCCTTCCGTATGCTGAATAAAATAGAATTATCTAGTAGATCAATATTTCAGTACATGCACTTTAAAAATGTGTCTTATACGTAAATCATCGACACTGTTAGTATGTAACATTAAAATGAAGTATCATATTCGATCATATTGTGCATTATTTTAAAATGATGCAGAAAGTAATAATGTATATGTATGTGCATACACACATAGAGAGAGAGAGAAACTTTTAAGAGAAATAGAGTATACATAGACGATGGAAAACCACACAGAAATTCATGGTGAGAAACTCCTTTCTGGAGCGGTAGCGACGAAACAAATCACACGAAAGCATGGATACGAACAGGGTAAGAAAACAAGTTTACTATGCTTAGTGCAACAGAAACCACGAAATAAGAACAAAAACAGACAGCGATCATCATCAAAGAAGGTGTTCGAAATTACAACACCGGACCGCGATGCAGGAACCATGCATCATGCATCTTCCATGCATGATTAAGATCTTCTACCTGCCGGAGATGTAAGGCCTGCATCACGATTCGGTGTTGTAATTTCGAACACCTTCTTTGATGACGATTATTATCTAATTTGAATTGATGCCTGATAATTTATGCTGAAATGTCGAAGAGAGTATTTATAAACATTGTGTTGGCATGCGCGGACATAAAGAATTACATAATATAAACTTTGGTTTTCTATTTAGACCAACTAAAGTTGGTTTTACTAATTGAGTAAATTATTTTAATCAAACATTAACGTAAGCTCTAAATTATGCATACACCCATACCCACGAAAAATGTATGACAGAGAAATTTCCTCGCATTCTATCTTCATTCGATTTCGCTTAAAACGGATGGATCGAAATTATTATACTATTTAATTAGCTGTACACCATTTTATTATGCCTTAGAAATGTTTTTAAATTATGACATATTTGTTATTTTTAAAATTTTCGTATAAAGCCATTAGGTTTATTGGTGCCAACAAACTTGAAATACCAACCCGGGCGATGCTAGAAATTTATTTTCTACTTACCTATCCTGTCCTTGTTGTGTTCTGTTTGAGTGATGACTTTGGGGAATATACCATTATTGTTCATGAAATAATTTGGTACAATTTGTTTACATAAAACATGAAAGAAACCTTTGAGAACTGATTATTATTAGAACATTTTATTTAAAAATCAAGCATAATACACAGTTTTCAGAATAGTTTTTAATTATCATTTTTGAAAGAATGTACAATGCACTCAGATACACGTTTCCGATTATGACTGAACAAAATAAAGATCGGATATGTTTTTCAGAAGGTGTATTATATTTTCTTCTTCTTTTTTACTTGAATAAAGTACTTACTTAATTATCAATAAGGCTTTAAATTTATTTAAAAATTATCACTAGAATAATTAGCTAGTTTCGCTATGGGAAATAAATGCTGCAGCTATTTTAATTCAAAATATAATTCTAGTTATGTATGAGTATATAACACGTAAATCATAAACATGTTGAACGTATGTTGAATATATTTGTGGATGAATTGAAACTTGAAAATATATTTGGGTTCAGAATTATATTACACTATATAATTTTGCTTCATATACAATGAACATCGCTTCTTTTCTCGTAAGAAATGAAACATAGGTTTTTATCATCAGACGCAGATATCTTGAAAATTGTTCCATTTTTTCAAGTTTAGGCTTAAAGTGAGTTAAATTATTTCAAACTGCAGCACGAGCTATTAATGAATTATATTCATGAAAATAAACCATCAACATTTTATCTAGTTTGCAAGTGATTAAAAACAGAACAGTTTTGGTTCCGATGCATTAAACTGCAATCTGTGTAACGTTTTCAGTTTTTCTATGTGAATAGAAAATTATTCCTTATCTAAACAATCGTAATTAATTATCTCGGAATATTAACCGATATATATGAAATACACATTTCACAATTTGATTTATCTGCATTATGTTACAGTGGGTCAAATGTTAAAAACACAATCACGTAATTACACTTCTCCCAAGATCAGAAGGGTCCACAAAGCATTTTCAAGCGTGGGGGACTGGTCCAGTACAGAATCACAGCGTCTGAGAAACTGTAAAATGAACTCATCTTTTAAAATGCTCCTAGAAAGAGGAACAAATATTTAGACGTTCTGTGTTGCAATCTTTAACATCAATTTACAAATAGAAAAATTTTTAAAATTGCGAGGAATGATGCTTGTTAAAAACTGAAAGCACTAAAATTATGAAACCTAAATCCCAGAGCTGTGAAAACAAATATCCAAAGTCATTCTACATTCAGATATTTAAATAAATAAAAAATAAATTCAAAAATATTCAAAATTATTATTGCATGCAAACATATCTGCATATTTTACAAAGTACTTAAAGATGTGAGTAATTTTTTATTTGAATTAGAAGAAGGCAAATCTAACTTTCGTTATCTAAAACAATTTGATCAGTCTGTTTCTGAAATGAAAATAATGACAAAATAATGACATCATCCAAGCAACTAAGGATTTCTGCAAAGAATTTGTCTTTCTTAGACTCTAGAAATTTAAGGCTCAAAATCAGTGCTTACAGAGCTAAAACCTTTTTAGGGCATTTAAATGTAATTTGAAAAAGCAAAACTGCAAACTGTTGCTAGGAGGACAGAATAAGGTCGTGAAGGAATAAAAGCTCTTTTTTGAATTTGGTTTCTGGCTAAAATGACCGATCGTAGTAGGTATGTGAGAGTTGAGAAGCCAAGATTAAGATTTGCTGACTTTTATGCAATGGAAACTGTACGTACGAAATTTAATAAAATATGGCTTTATATAAAAAAATCCACTGGTTTAATATTTAATGACCCCCGTAACAAATGAAAGCCTGTCTGCAAAGAACGTCAGAGTTTGAGCCTACAACAATGTGCTTATGTTCTCTTTAGTCACTATTTGAGATAATGAATTTGCTACGATACGTGGTGCATTTGTATTTATATGGGAAAGAATAACCGGTAATGATATCCACTGCACACTTTATATGGTCCATAAATGATCTTTCTGTTGAGAGATAAAGCATTTCAGTATATCTGATATCTAAATAGCTAAATATCCTAATTTGAATCCCTAGAGAACTTTCCAATGTTAGCCTTGGAAAAACTGCTTCAAGCCAAAGTTTTTCTACACGAGATCCCAATATCTTGATAACTATGCTGCTGAAAATTGGAACTTAACTTTACCAAATTCTATATAAAATTAAGACTCATGAAACCATTAAACCCCTTTACAATATGTTATGAAAATAAAGAGATACAATTTCCTGTGGATTAAAAGTCTGCATTTGTTTCAAAGATATTCACTTTACCTAAATTTTGATATCTATATTATTCGAAAATTATTTTTTACTTAATGTAATTTTTTATGGTGTGCATTTTAGAGTTTTCAATTTGATTTATATATATACAAAATATAAACCATATATTGCATATACTTTTTAAAATTTTCTATTTTAATTTTCCTTTTAAGAAGTTTACTAAGTTAATGATAATATTTTAGAGTTTTTTTAGGATGATGTAATCTTCTTCTACTGAATTATTAATCTAAATTTTTGTTATGGGGCTTGTATTATAAAACTGCATATACCGCATTATAAAAATTTATTGTATTAAACTTGCATTAATCCAAAACTTAAAAATTAATAATTTAGTACAAGTTTACATATAAGATATTGAATTTTCTTTCTTTCATATCTTTGTGAATTTGGTTCTAAATTTCTTATTTTTTGTCTATAATTGATATATATGTATATGTGTGATGTGTGTGTGTGTGTGTGTTTACGTATTATAATACTAAGTTTCAAACCAAATAAAGGCCTTTCAATTTTATTCGAGATTATTTGAGAAATTTATTTTTCTCGTTCATATAAAATAATTTTGGACATAAGTGTTAAATTATGGTATAATTTATATAGTATTGAATAAGAAATACCTCCTGTCAGTGGAAAGAATGCAAACAGAATTACAAATTATAAACTGCAAAAATAGTTAAAGTAAGCAATAACAACTACTGCAAAGTTATATATTTGAAAACAAATATATTCTATAGCATTTCCGTCAGATACTAAATTTAATTGCTATCGATTAACATAGCAAGGTAAAAATAACCGTTATAAATTTCATATACCTCAATTTTGAACATTTCCGATGCATGTTTGGTTATCAATGTAGCGGTCTAAATTAGTTTTTGATCTCAATTACATTCGTCTATCATTTATTTTTTTTACATTGCATTAATAGCAGTTTCAAGCTTAATAAGCATTACATAAGTTCTAAATATTTCATAAAGGAAATGCTCACATTTGACGTAACATAATCTCGCAGAATAATAGAGGCTTAAAAACGCCTTGCATTTACAAAAGGCTAGATCAAATCTGTCCAAAATAAGTAAAAGAATCAAATTTTAAATAATACGCATGTTACTCTAATAAATTTATCTACTAAGCCGGACCTAATGCAAAATAGGAGCAATTTGTATTTTTGAGGCTTATTTGTACATTTTATTTTAAATAAAATAATGCCATTAAAACATTAAAATGAAAAATGTGCCAAAATTTCAAAAACGAGTTAACATTTTCTCTAGTTTATTATGCTTTTTATATAGTTTATTTATTATTCATATACATGTATCAATTGTAAAAAAATCCTTTTACAGTGTACACACTGGATAAATAGCGGCTGATTACATTTTAAAATTTCAAAGATTAAAATAATTCATAAACATCTCTATTCTTAATTCTGATATGAAAAGCTATAGTGAAATCTGTGCCAAAAAACGTGTAGATTACTAGGGCTTTTTAGAAACAGGAGATACTAAAAATCAGCAATTCAGCCTTCAGGAATTGAACTCCGGACCTTCTCACTGCTAACGGAAGTGCTTCCGATTATAACGCGAAGGCACGAAGTAAAGAAGAAAATTTCTTCACCGGAAATATCTTGTAATTATTATGTCCAACGTTTATTACCATGTACGGGCAAAGTGCAGAATCGCCCACTTATATGTTTGGAGCATTTTACAAGAGTAAGAAGAATTGGATTTTTGTCAATTTTCTTTGACTTTTTATGTGAAAATAAATCGATGTGTACATGGATACCGAGTATGTGCGATTCTTAACGCTCCAAGTAGTGGGTGATTCTGCACTTTCCCCTCAAATACTTGCATATTACCACTAAAACTATTGTAGACTTTCATTAATTTTTTTAGATGAATATAAATAATATACAAGTTACTTAAAATGAATTTTCTATTTTCGTGTTTATTTTTAGGAAAGCTTGAGTTACCTTTAACTCACTTCCATAAAGATTCCCTCGAATAAGTGATGGCAGGATCATTGGTTCTGCTGAGTTAAAAGATAAAGGACAGATTTATTTATAATAGATGCCGCTTAGTGTAATAGCGGTTAATGTTATCATCCGGATATTGTTACCGAATTGTCGAAGTTACGCCCGTTTGTATATGGGAAGCAGAGAAAATACATCACTTACTGTGATCATCAATTCAATTAATATGATCAAATTATTACTGAATTAATTCTTTTAACTGAAGTAAAATCATTAAGTAAGTTCGAAATATATTACAAAAATTGACTAATGAGAAAAATGTAGCCAAGTCAGGAATTAAGTCGCCAAACATTCGTTAAAATTAGAACAAAAAAAATTAATTTGATGTTTGTTTTTCAACAACTCTGTCGATTTTGATGGCGATCAAACATATGTCTCTCTTCTTCAGGATCATATGTAAGATATAACAAAATAGGATGGCTGGGCTAAGAAACGATAAGCGACCTCAAAATTAACTATTTTAAATTTGGTGTTCTCCCCCCCTAATTTCATCTGTTCTCCCAAATTCGAGAAATTTCCATATTACATAACAACGTAAAATTAACCAATCACAGATTAGCCGTAGATATGCATCATACTTAGCGTAAGTACCCTTCACAAACAACTACGTCATTCCTTTTCCTAGCTTCCGCCGTGCCAATAAGCCATGCACTCCTTTGTTCTTATTCTAAGATGGCGTAACGTGTATATAAAAATTATTGTACTGGCTTATGATCTAGAAGTATCCTCTCTCCTAAGAAATATTTTGATATGAGCGAAAATAAAGATTGGTGATTCGTAGAAATCCAGTTTTGTTATCTTCGTCGTATGCCTCTGCACTCCTCCATGCCTACAGCTATAAGTTAAAAGTACCGGATTCCTCCTATCGATCTAAAATACTACATATATATACATATAACGTTAGAAGTTACGGCCTTAGAAAGATTTTGTAAATTGTCGCCAACTCCAAAATGACTCGTTTACTTTCATCATAATGTAGCTAAATCCCGACTGTACCGTATACTGGGATTAAGGCCATAGAATTTGTTCCCAAGGTTAAGAAAATTAGATAGGTAAACTTACAACAAAATCCAAGAAAAATGTACGTTTCGAAGAACACTGCAATCTAATGAGTTAATGGAAAACATCTTCCGAACTCATATAGTTTCCTACACAACAAATGCTTTCAATGAAGCGTCTGATCAAAGCACGTTCCCTGTAAAACGATTTAAAATATTTATCAAAATAAAATACTTATAATAAATCTAAAAAACGCCATAAATAATAGCTCTATTAAATATAACCTTTGATGCCAATAATATTATATTTCTGTATAGCTTTTATCAAGCAATTGAGAGTAAATTAACTAAATGACAAAGTTTTGCACATTAAATTAAAAAAATGTAAACTAAAAGTTTAAATAAGATAACTCACCGTAAAAACGTCTTAGATGTTAAGAATCTCATGCTCTATCACTAATTAAAAACATAGGCAGTTCTTACATTCTTCATTCTTTTTTATCTAATGTCATTTTACCGAATAATCTCTAAGGAGAGTTGCTTTGATTTTACGAAGCTTTTATTCTGCGCATGCACCAGTTTTTGAGTTTTAGTTTGCAATAGATAAACAGAGTAATCGCTATTCTTACGAAAGGCATGGTTGCCAGTTTTACAGATTTATTGCCAGATAAAGCCATTCAGCTAGAGTAAAATGGCCAGAATTTTCAATGAGAAACAAGAAAATGGAAAATCTTTCAAAATACGTAAATAAAAAATAAAATAAATACGTATAAATTAAAAACAAAATTTTGTTAGAGGTTCAAATTAGAACGATCGCCCAAAAGTTTTTTTAAGCTCTCGCTGGACTTGCAGTCTACCAGTCTGGTGCTGCACTCACTCCTGCTAACCCATTTCTTTTTAGCTTTATTATTAAGCATCATTTTCTTCGAAATCACGGAATAAATAATTCAACAGAAAAGTTACAAAAATTTTAAAAGCAACATAGGAGCATATGTTTAGAATTCAGGATGCAGTGTTAACTGTTGGGCATAGCATTTCCAGGCTTTTCTCAGTTCCTCATATGAATGTTCAGGTTTTCTTAGTAAGATGGATTGCAAAACCTTTTTTTCTGTGTTTCCATTATTAACGTTCTGAATGTTAAATTTTACAAATATCGTGCTGTTCGCGCTTACGCCACATATAAAATTCAGTTAAACAACAAAATCGCAAACTATTTAAAAATAAAGTATCTTTATAATACCCGATAGAGAGTCTCGTGCGCTGGAGATAATAAAGTTTTAATCCCTACAGTGTTGCCATTACTCGATTTCAAATCATTAAGTTTGTTAAAAGTTCATTAAAGTTTTGCAAAATATAAAATACAAAATTCTGCTTACAGGTGTCCATATTCAGGTGGGGGACTTTGTTATTAGAAATTTAACGGGCTTCGGTACAATCATTTTTTCACAATGTGATAAACATACATAGATTCATGCAGAGTCTTCATTATTTAATTTCTTTAAATGTAATATAGCGCGAAAATATTTCATGGTCCCAATACGAAAAGTGATTCAGACATTTAATGGGAAATTAACGATGCAGATCCCTTTTCGAGACTAAGGCTAAAAATACATATTTAAGGCATGAACTTGTTATTTTAAATAAGTAATTATCATAACTGGGGTTTTACCCTGTTTGGATGTTACAATGAAACCACCCAAACAGATGCCATGGTTTCAAACAATTGCAGCTTTCCGTAAATGCGATCGCCGTAGAAAATGTGATAATCGATGATATTCACTGTTAATATTTATTCATTTCCTTATAAATACTGTCCAGGTTTAGAGGCTTGTATAATACTGTCCTACCTTATAAATACTGTTCAGGTTTAGAGGCTTGTATAATACTTACTTGTATAATACTGTCCTACCTTATAAATACTGTTCAGGTTTAGAGGCGGTCTTAATGTGACCTTTTCCTGCATTTACTATCAAAATATATACTGTGATACTGTATTAATACTATAAGCTGTGATACTGCAATTATTCCTACTAACGGGAATTTAATTATTAATGTTATAGGTTTGAAAGAAACATACTTTCGCTGATAATGAAAGTACTCCATTTTGCTTAATTTAAGCTTTATATTCTAAAGATTGAGTCATTTTTCAGATATTTTATATCTTTCTCTATTGTATTGAGCAATTTTTTTCAGATAATGAATTATCCACCGCAAAAGAATTTTTTTTTTGAAGTTTATCTTTTCTTTGAATTTTATTTAAAATTTACACCAAAATTAAATGTTTTTTGCCTAATTTTATGCTTTGCATCAAAGTGCTTCTCTTCCAGTTTGATTTTCTTCACCTGCTTACATTCTGAAACATAATAAACTAAGTGGCGTGACAGCTCTGGAGGACCATGGTCCGCAGTGGCCCGATATCTGCTTTCCTGACCGTGCGCCTCGAGTTGTGTGAGCGTATGCTCTGAACAAGTGCTCATCTTGCTGCAGGACCATCCCCGGTGTTTAGTCCCCAAATGAACTTGGTACTCATGTTTTCTAACCACTCAAGGAATGCAAGTCTGAATCAACTTTACCAGCACGGGAATCGAAAGCGATGCGCTAACGACTGCGCCATTGGGCCTGAAACATATTAAAGAGAAGGTTAATTAAATATTCTACAGATAATTTGCTTTTCCCATTTCGGGTACAAAACGCAAATGCAACAAACCCAAGAAACTGAAGAAATTCAAGAATTCTTCTCCAAACCAGACATTTTGTGAACCTCCAAGTTGCCTAAAACATATATTTGTGAACCTCCAAGTTGCCTAAAACATATATTTATGATCCCCCAAGTTGACTAAAATATATATTTGGATCCTCCAAGTTGCCTAAAACATATATTTGTGAAACGCATTTTTTATACCTGAATGTATCTCTGATCTACCGAAAATATCAGTATGGTCATTTGTTATTTATGCCACGTATTATTTTTATAGAAATAATATATCGAATATTAAAAAAAGCACTTCAAGATTTAACCCTCTATCTGAAATTCTAAAAATATAACAGTTTTAGAAACTTTTTGCGATTTTGCTGTTGAATGTTTCTTGGCGTAAGTACGAAGAAATGATGTTTAATAAATATTAATTAAATTAAAAAAGACAAAAAAGAGAGTTGCGTAAATCATCTCATTGGAAAACCATGTAAGTAAAGGCTGTGATAAGTTATCAAAGTTAAACGATTTTGCATGACTGTGATCCTCTTATTAATAAGTAACAGAAAAAACACTGTCTAGTGCAACTTCAATTTTTTTAAGTATATTTTAACCAATTTTAATAAAAAAAATTCAAGGAAAAATGCAGTAACTTACGTAAAAAGAATCTGAAAGGTTTCAAGTTTCAAATTACGTCCAAAGTGCGTTTTTTTAACGTTTTGGGTGTTGCCTTTATTTATTAAATATCACGTTCATCGCACTTTAACCATAAAAATCAGTTCAAGAGCAATATCGCAAAAGGATTTTAAATTGAGCACATCTTTAGAATTTCCGATAGACAGTCTCACGCGCTGGAGATATTTTTTTCCCTGTACAACGTTGCCATTGCTCGCTTGGAAATTCTTAATCAAGAATTTTTTAAAGTTTTAAAAAATATGAAATCGCTAATAAAACAAATTTCAAATTTGGGTTCCAGATACCTATATTCGCAGTACGATAAAATTAATTCAAAAGTGTATGGCCCTATGTACCGTTGTTTTATCGCAATGCGAGAAACATACATAAGTTTATGCAGATTCTTCATTATTTAATTTCTTCACATGTAATACAGGCGATAATATTTGGTGGCAAAGGTTTGAAAAGTGAAACGGACATTCAGAGTGATTCGACACAATATCACAAAACGAAAACAATTGTCTCTCTCAGGGACAAAGCCCCTTCGAACAAATAAATTATAAGGGAAACTAGGAATGTTTATTCCGTATCTTCATACCTATATTTACGGTCAGACGTCCACAAGTATGTATATTTTCATACCTACCATTATGTTTACACATAAATATGGTCGCATTTACGAATGTTTATTCTGTGCGCCCTATTGTCTACATTTTAAATAAAGTCATATGATTTAAGCCCCACTCATCACAACTGAAATTTGTAAAAGAAATTAATTACTTAAAAGAAATTCTTAGTAAATAAATTTGCATTGAAAATACGCAAAATCTATTCATCTTCTAAAACGTTTTAAATACACATGAGTCTTTTATTAGATGTCCTTTGATTAATTACTAAGAAACCTTCTGAGAAAAGAATATTATGACTGAAAAATTAACCAATATATTTAAGAACGTTTCTTATAACGTTAAAATCATTCCTTATTTTAAACATTCTCTTTCAAGCTTAAGTTGTCACACATAATCTTATTAATTAAAGGCATTTAACTAATCGTTTTCCCCTTTCTTCCTTCGTTAAATCAGATTTAATTCTAGATTGTTCTAATTTGTGTTTTTCTTCATTCATTTATCACAATATTTAGTTTAATGAAACAGTTTATTGATTTTTTAAATGCCTACAATTTGTATTTCACGTATTCTGCTGTCTTATTTTAAGGAATTACTTTTGGCAGTAGTTTTCTTCGAGATTTATTGCAATAAATGTTTTCTCAACTTTTAAATATTTTGTTCAAAAATAAGGAAAGCTAAATATTGTTATGAGATTTCCATATAATAAAAGAATTATTGATGCCAAATAATACGTTTTATAGTTTCTAATGAAAAGCTTTTTTCCGATATTTTATGCCCATCAGTTGCCTAGTGGTAAAATCACTGAAATCTGGTAGTTCTGACCTGGGTTGGAATCCAGGCGACCTGGGTTGGAATCCAGGCGACCTGGGTTGGAATCCCTGGAATTCGAACCAGGCGACCTGGGTTGGAATACCGGCTGGTTCCACGGGCGTTTTCGTGTTTTTCCTTATGTATAACGTGCATATGATCTAGTTTTCCCCCAGTTTCTAAGGCATCCTCCCTTAGGCAGATAGCCCTAGTGTGCTTTGCCATAGTACACTAAACCAAACAAACCGATTTTTTACATAAGAGACTTGACAGAGTTCTGTCCTTTGATGAGTTTTCCTCTATGGCTTCCTACAAACTGCTTAAGTAATAAAACGTATACATTCTTACTAATCCACCTTAATTTAAAGTAACCAGAATTTATGAAAATAGCTCAAGCAATATATTGTGAATACCAGTTATTTCTTAAAAAGCGAACATTTAGCTATGGGATGTAATGCAAATAAAATGTGTTACATTATTGTTTCGAAGGTCAACCATACTTTCGTTTACTTGACTTCGAAACTTCAAAGTTTTAGTTTGAAAACTCAAAGATTTAGTTGCGTTTTGTTGCAATCCTTACGGTCAAATTTTCTCATTCCTCATAACATTACATATTTTGGAAATATTTGTGCTTATTTGTTTATAATTTACAATTTGCATCTTTTTAATTTTTTTATGTATTAATTTTTGCTGCATTTTTCTAGTTGTTTATTTCATCTCATATTTTCGTTCCATTTAATTTATTTGTTTATGATTGTATGATGATG